GGTGGCTGCGGGAGGCGTCGCTGCCCCTGGCCCCAGGCAGTGGCGGCAGCCTCCTGTCATCCAGAGTAGTTCCAGGAGCCCGCACTCCTGGGAGGAATCCAGCACAGCCTCACAGCCCTCCTGGGCGTGCGAGCCCCCAGATCTGCGTGTCGGATGACAAGAGGCTGCCGCTGCTGGCAAATTTTGCTTTCAAGACTTTGAGGTACAGTTTCTGAAAAATCTCTGCACCTGTCTCCTTGAAATGTGGCAGGCTTCATGCCCTCAGAAGGGGCTACTGTCCCTGCAATTTGCATCTGAATCAGGCAACAAATGACAAAGTTGTAGGCATTTTCATGATTCCTCATTATAGCCTATGGGTGAAACATTGAAATGAGTTGAAACAGCGAAACAGTTTCAACAAAATGAAATGGGATAGTGTCTTGAAATGGAATGAAACGACAAAACAAAACACTGTCCCTTCGAAATGGATGTTGAAACAAAACAATAGTGTTTTGCACAGCCCTACAGGATAGTACTGTATTTACAAGTACTAACCTGAGACAGAGCTAATTAGTTTCCTGTGGCCTAATAGGGCTGCACATGTAGACTTTGAGACTCTACTGCAGAGCTAATAAGGCAGCTCTGCAGTAAACATCTCTTATAGATGTACCCTATATCTCCAGCAGTAATTCCATCTAAAGATTGTCCAGGATAGAGTGGCATTTCAGGTGGCGAAAAGGGAGCTGCCATGCCCAGAAAAATTTTAAGAAGAATTTGTAACTTTGGAAACTTTGCAGTGTAGATTTAATCGTAGGTTCTAAGGTTTCTTTAAAAATATTATTTAATCCATTAAAAAGTAAGAAAAATCCATAAGCAAGATAAACAACTCTGGATAGAACAGCTAGTGATTATACTACTTATTACATTCAAATTCAATAAAGATCATATAAAATTTACCTTTCCAGCATAGTGCTGGATGCCAAAACACAGCTCCACTCCTTTGGGTCTCCAAAAGTATTTGTATCTTAAATTATCTTCAAATTTATCTAGCCATTGCAAAAGATAACATTGTTAATAATGAACCGAAGTATTTTAAAGAGAAATCTCTACCCTGTTAGGGGCAGCTTTATTGACCCAAAATATCAGAATCAAGATAAAATACTCTTGTAAGTTAATTGCATTGCCCATCAGTGACATCAGCCTTGGTCTTGCCTGTTTGTCACTTTCATTTTGTTCTTTCTTCCAAGCTGCTACTTACGATTGGAGCAGCATTCCCATACCAGCCCATTAAAACATATCCTTCAAATTTCTTAAGAGTACTTCTATTGCCATGCCTATATGAAACTATCAAATGAGAGTGGCTAGCAAGCACCTGTCAAGTCTCTTCATTTATTTGTTTGTTACAATTGGGCACCTGGAAGAGGCAAAGAGTCCCAGCTTGCTTTCACCAGCCCTAGATCACTCTGCTTTCAAGACATCAGTAAAAAAACTAATCAGTCAGAAGCAAGGGGGTTGCCTGTGAAAGTATAAGCTCAATATTTAATACAGGCTGATTTATAAGACTCGCAGGCAGGTTCCCAGCTTCAGTATATGACAGAAGGTTGGAATGAAATCATATCAGTCATCTTGGACTTAAATTCAAGTTTGAACTCAGCTCTCCAGAAGTGAAAATGTTATGTATACATCTGGAGAGCTTAACAGCTGCCATTTTAAATAGCAAAATTCTCCTTTCTGATTCACACCATACTTATCTGTTATAAATCCAACATTCAGCACATTGACAGGAATGGGAATTCTGGCTTGCACGTCAAAGGGGAGCATTCAGCATTAGGATGATATTTTAACAGCATGTAATATGCTTCATGTTTTAAAAATGAAGTTAACTTTTATTACAATGTTCATAAAACATGCATCAAAGTAAAGAAATATACAGCCAGATGGCACAATGTAAGTAACACACTTTCTGTTTATGATGAGGTAATCTGTAGTGAGACAGTGTTGTCTAATAGGGTAAGTATGAGACTGGGGCAGGAAGACCTGGATGCTTTTCTCACTACTGCTGCTAACTTACTGTCTAGCCTTAGACATGTCACTCTTCTGTGCTGCTGCTGCTGCTTCTCTGTCTATTACATGGGGATAAAAATACTCAAAATGCCAACCTCCAGGGACATCATGAGGATAACTTATTTGAAGGTTTTAGAAAGTAGTAAGCTCTACATTGAGAGCTACAAACAGCTGCGCCAGGGTCCAGAGCCCAGTCACCAGCTCTGTGCTGGGAGCGGGGGAGAGACCGGGGTTGCACTGCCTCAGACCCCTCCCCCGCCGCCCACTCAGATGCGCAGGTGCATGCGCCGGTATGGAGCTGATGCTGGGGCTCCAGAGCCCAGCGCAGCTGTTTGGAGCCTCCCAGCTTCAGCTGGCCCGGCTCTGGGTAGCTGCTGCCAGCCACAGAGCCCGGGCTGTGGGGCAAAGGGCAGCAGGGCTGGGGGGCAGGGACTTTGGGTGGGGGGCAAGGGGCACATGCAGGGCATTCTGCCATGTACCCTCTGCCCTCATTTTGTTTTTCTGGCATGCTGGCACTCCGGCACCTTCCAACGTAGGCATTGTGGTGTTTTTCGGCACTCTGGCCAAAAAACATTGCCTACCCCTGGTCTATACCATAGGCTGGATTGGGCCTACAGACCAGCTCCACATACCAGATCCAGGGTACGGGACCTGTCTAGTGCAGGCACTGCATACAGCACTCCCTGGACTGGTCCCATGTGCCACATGCAGTGTGTGTCCTGGATTGGCTCCACGTACCAGCCCTGGCCCCATGCACCAGAATTTACACATGCTAGCCCAGGCCCTGTGTGTTGCATGCAAGGCCAAACCAGTGCAGACTGGATGCAGCAGGTGAGTCCACTCTGAGACTCACCGGCAGCACCATGGGATGGATGATAGGGCTCTATGGTCTATATCTTTTACTATATCTATTTTAAACTATAAGATAACATTAGCAGTATAAAACACCTGGGAAGCTAGAAAAACATACTGGGTAGTGAATGATGCAATATAAAGATAGCAGATAGACATTTAATATTCCAAGAAAAATGCCACAGGGATATCAATCATTCTTTAAGTTTTCTTGAGTGCTCATACCAACTAAAGTCAGATCTGTTGCCTGGGGAAATCGACTTTCTTCATCAAGTAGTGACAGCAGTCCCATTGGTTTTTGGAGGAACATATCTAAAAGTGGGCGATTGTCTTCATATACCACTGTAGTTGCATCAATCCCCTCATTCTGATATTCCATCTACAAAGTTGTAAACAGTGTTAATACCAAACTAATTATTATCTGGTCACTTTTGGCACAAAGCTTCTCTTACATCTTTAAGCCCCAACAATATTTAGCTACCTACAACGCTCATGGTAAAAACGTGGAAGTAAAATCTTAATATGGTCTTTTTTTGGCCACAGTGCATTAAATATGTGGGCATGTGTATTTTACAAAATACTCCTGATTCATTCTACAAGTCATTGTTGCTGAATTAAATCATTCCCTTTATAAAGTTAAATTACCTGTTCAAGTGCAAAGATGTGTTGATTGAAATAAAACTGGATTTGTTCATTGGCAATGTTTATGCACAGTTGTTCAAAGGAATTTCTTGTGAAGTTCTCAAATCCAAAGATATCTAGTATCCCAACATTCATTCCACTGTCAGCATTGCTATATGGAAAAGGTACACAAAATCCATCAAGGAGAAAGAAAAAACAGGAAAAATCAAAATAAACTTGACAATAAAATAGTGACATAACAAGCTGGTTCTGTGCCCTCCTTGGTGGTGACAGCCAGGGTGGTGGCAGCTGTGGTTGCAGCAGCCAGGCTGGTCACAGCTGGGGTGGCCAGGCAGCTGTAACTGCTGCTCTTGTGCCTCCTATGAGGGGACACTTGGGGCTGGCATCCCAGTTGTACACCTCTAGTTATAGTACTGCAATAAAGATCAGATACCACAAATAATTTAATCAAAGGAAGAGAGACAGAACTTGTTCACAGTCATTACCAGAGTTTTCAACCCTAAGACTCTTGCATTTCATGAGTTTTGTCATGATGTGAAGAAGAAGAGAGATGCTACTACTCAGAAGCACCTCCTCTGCCATTAATAAAATAGGAACTGTGATTCCTTTATTTCCCCTTACGTTAGCCCCACCAAACATAGAGAAGTGGATTCAGACTACAATCTGAATCCTCAGCTATGCTGATTTCATGTTCAGTGCAAATAAGAGAAGTTGGAGGAAAGACAGTTCTCAGATACCTTCCCACTCATCCCATTTTGGCATCACCAGAGAAGAAAACAGCACCAGCATAACTTAGAGTTGCCTAAAGGCTGCTCTATTATACCAGCACAAGCTGTCCCATAAAGACTGCTTCACAGGCAGCCCATCCAGACCTCCCTGTCCTCCAACATACTCTCTCACATGGTGGGGTAAGGTTTGCAGGCAAGAGAGCCAACTATACCAGCTTTATATCACCTTGAAGTTTCTTTTAGGCCTCAACATACCTCGCTGCTCTTGAAAAGTGCAAAGCATATGAAACAGGATATGAGAATGTGGCACAGTGTAATCATCTCCATAACATCTATTAGCACTTAAGTTTTCATAATTAAATGTCCTTATAATTGATTTTAGCAGCTTGAATTGGAATATAAAATTGATCCATTAAGTTGTTATAATCATTTGATATTTGTATTTATCACTACTTTAATACTACTTGAGAACTGGAAGGCCCACATAAACTATACTTAAATGTTTATTGCACCCAACCTATTCTAATTAGTTATTTACAGGCCTCTGGTAGAATTTTCTTGCTTATCCCGTATCTAGTACCTTTTCAAAGACTTGCATGGGATTTTAACTAAGCAGTTTTCATTGAGCACATCTACATGTGCTTTTGATGTAGCATCAGTTTACCCATGAGTAAATTAAATGGGTACACACACCTACACATGCAGGGAAGTGGGAGCAGTGGCCCTGCAATAGGCCCCTGCCACCACCACAGGAAGCTCCAGGCACTGGCTGCAGCTGCTAGCAGCCAGCAGCCCTCTTCAAAAGCCAGCCCTGCTCTCTGCTCTCTGACCAGCCACTGCCCTGACCAGGAGCAGTGTGTCCAGTGCAGCAACAGCATGTGGCAGCACTCTCCTCACCATGGCGGCACCAGCCCCTGCCCCTGCCCCGGGCAGCGATGACCAGTGCCCCATGCTCCTGCTGGCTGCTGCGCTGGCCCTACTGGCCCGCTGTGCCGATTACCACCTGGTCCACAGCCTTTTCACCCCTCCTGGCTCCCCCACATGCAGCAATTGCCTGCCTGCCTGCCATGCTCCATCCCAGGGCCACCACTGGGCACCTGCCACCTCCAACCCATCTGCCTGGATGGACCCTGGCAGGGATGCTGATGATGGGCTCCAAGATGCCACCACCAGGGCCACAATCACCCTCCTACCACCAGGGCCACAATTACCCTCCTGGGCCTCCAGCCCCATTGCCTCTGGGCCTGCCGGGACAGTCAGGACTGGTGGTGGCATGTCATCCAGCACCCCTGGGATGATAAGCAGTGGCTAGAGACCTTCAGGATGACCCGGGCCACCTTCCAGGAACTCCTGGAGCAGCTCCAGCCCCACCTGGAGTGGCAGCATACCAACATGAGGCCACCCCTCTTTGCAGACATCCACTTGGCCCTCACTCTGCTCAAGCTGGCCATGCCTGCCAGTCTGCAGTATGTCAGTCACCTGTTTGGAGTGGGCAAGGCCACCACTGGGGAGACTGTTCTGGAGGTGTGCGGGGCCATCCAGGACATACTGGGGGACACTGTGCTCCGCGTGCATAACCCCCTAGTGGGGGGTGGCGGAGTTCCGTGCCCTGGGATTCCCCCAGTGCATCAGGGCCCTGGATGGGACCCACATCCCCATCACTTGCCTGCCTTGCTACCTACCAGAGACCACCCCTACTACAGATGGAGGAGCTTTCACTCCATGGTGCTCCAGGCCATCAAGGACCATTGAGGTGCCTTCCCACATACGAGTGCTGGTTGGGCAGGCAGTGCCTATGATGCCTGCATCTTCCTGAACTCTGGCCTGCCAAGCCTGGTGGAGGGTGGGCACTTCACAGCAGGTATGCTGGACGTGCAGCTGGGCACTGTGGTGGTCCTGCCCCTACTCACTGGGGACTCCACCTACCCACTCCTGCTCTGGCTCATGCAGCCCTACCCAGCCATCTGGACCCCCGCCAGGCCCACTGCAACTATTGTCTGGGCCAGATCCATGCCCTGGTAGAATGCACTTTCAGCTACCTTATGGGACACTGGCACACACTCACTGCCCGCCTCGAGTTCACTGAGGACAACCTCCTCCAGGTCATCCTTGCAGCCTGCATGCTGCATAACTTCCATGAGGCCTGGTGGGGGAGCTCTTCCATGAGGCCTAGGCAGAGGAGACGTGGTGCACAGAGGACACCTGACAGCAGGAGCATCACCTATGTTGGCAACGCCGGCGCGGGGGCCCCCCCCCCCCCCCCCGCTCCAAAGCCCCAGGAGAGCCATGGACTTGCTAGCAGGGGCCAGGGCACCAGATGCAGGAGGCACTGGTCAACCACTTCCTCCAACACTGCTGGCTCTAGACCACATGATTGCCACCCACAGGCCCCCCCACCACCTCCAAGCACCATGCTTACTGCAGGCAGATCTCAGAAAACACATTTTATTCTCTTCACATCAACCAGAGCCCAGCTCCCCCACTAACAAACAAAGCCCCCTTCTCTCCCCAACAAACAGAGCCCCTCCATTACCCACCCCACCCACCAACACTAAAAAACCTTCTTCCCCATGAAAACTGTGTGTGTCCTTTGTGTGCTGTCCTAGAGTAGGGGGCTGTGGGGTGGGGGCAACTAGAGGGCAGAGCCCAGGGACAGGCAGCCAGCACCCTGGCTTCTGGCCACTCCCCCATGGGTGCACACACTGTGGTGAGTGCAGCAGGCGGGGGGCTTGTCCATGGTGATGGCAGCTGGTGCTCCCCTGGTGCTAGTGGTTTCCTTTCCAGCAAGCAGTGTCCAGGGTTAGCAGGGTTGGCATATGGTCCTGACCCTGCTGCAGGCAGCTCTGGCTCTGCACCCACGTGGAGCCAGGGTAGTTGGTGGGGTTAGGCCAAGGCAGGGTGGCTGGGTGGCACTGGACCAGGGGTAGGGGCCAGGCCAGGGTCTCTTGGCTGCTGAAAGCAGTGCAGGACCTCCTCCCAGGCCCAGGTGGGGGTTTGCTGCTGGGTGGTGCATGGCTGCCAGGGAGCAGGTGGGGCTAGGGTTGGGATGTCCAGCATTTGGCAGTCATTGTCTGTGGCCTGCACTGCCAGGAGCTATGCCTGGAACTCCTGGTCTGCCCAGTCCTGTGCTGGTCCTGCGCCTCTTCGTGGGTGGTATCCTCCACTTGCCACCTGTCCTGGCAGGCCACGTCCTCTGCCTGCCAGACCCAAGTATCCCCCAGCCGGTCTTCTGATGCCATGGCCAAGCAGTCCAGGAGGAGGGTCCTGTCTAGAGTTATCCTCTGGCAGAGCCAAAGTATCTGCAGGACCCCGGCTGTGTGTGGCAATGACCCTGAGGCCACATCCCAGCTGCCAAGGGTGGCCTGTCCCCTGCATGCAGCTTCAGGTCCTATAGAGGCATGAGAAAGAAGCTGTTTGTGTGTGTTTGCAACATTTCAGAGATAAGATGCCCTGTACCAGGGCCATGCAGTGCCCAGCCTCAGATCAGGCATCAGGCATGCACAGGAGATCAGGGGCCATGGTAAGTCAGCCTGGCAGGCCTGGGCCCAGGCAGCTGCTGGCTGAGCTCCCCATCTCCTCTTGCTCCCCTGGGGCCAGTGGGCTGCTGGGTGCTGGCTGCGGGCAGCCTCCCTCACCCACCTCTTCCCAGGGTAGGATAGGCTAGGCTCCTGGCAGCACTTCCTGACACCAGACCCTGCTACCACCCCCCACAGGCCATCCACTCTGCTGCTCTGCCACCCATGATGCCCAAGCTCAGGGGGCATGGGGCTCCAGGGTGACTGGGACGAGGAGCTGCCTGTGCCCCAACCCTCCGCACAGGGTTCTTCTCCAGGGAGGTGCCTCAGGGCCAGACCCAACCCAAGCCACCACTGCACCTTGAGCATGCCCCTGCTGTGCATGCCTCAGGCAGTTCATGAGGAGCTGTTTGTGTGGACTCGGGTGCCCAACCCTCTATGCCTTGCTGCTGATGATGCCCGTGTTGCCTCAGGTACACCTACACATGTGGTACAGAACCCTGAGCTATGATGGTGCAAGGGGCAAGTCTGAGCTGCCCTGCAACCTCTGCTGCTGCCTGGAGGCCTACCTGTGGCTGTGCATCCCTGGCCCCCATAGCTGAGGAGAGCATCACCACCAGCATTTACGTGTTCCTCAGTGTGTGAGAGGCCTGTGCCCACCTAGCTGCGGGGGCATGGGCTGCTCAATAAAGTTTGGTACTGTCTCCCACCTCCCTGCATGCTGTGATGGGGGAACATGGTGCCAGGGGAGTGCAGTCTGGCCAGGTAGGGAGGAGGGGCAGGGGAAAGGGCTGGGAGCAGGGGTAGGGGTGGGGAAGGCCCTTCCCTCAGAGCAGGGCTTACCACGTGGCCAGGGCTGGCATATCCGGCAGCTCCACGTGATCATAGCTGTCGGTGATGGCATGTAGCTCTGGGCTGTGTCTTCAGACGTCGGGGCACGGGAGGCAGGCACCTGGCCAGGGGCCCCCCCAGGAAGGAGCTGGCACTGTTTGTGGTGTTATTGCTGGCCATGCCTCATGGTTGGGCCTGCAGAGCTGTTGGAGCAGGTGCCGGTCCGGGCTCCCCAAGCTGCGGGTGGAGGGTGCAGCAGGGGAGCTCAGTGGGATGGACTGTTGGACACCCAAGGGGTGCCAGGCCAGGGTGGGGGCTCAGACAGGCTGCCCATGCTACTATAGACAAAATAGCTGTGGCCTGGGTTCTGGGGCATGGAGATGTCCATTGGTTGCTGCATAAAGGGCATGGACTTATGGGTACTCCCCGACTGATGACTGTGCCCACAAGGCCTTGAAATTTATGCAATACTTCTGTGCTGACTGGTCATGCCCACACTCCCGCATCTGGTCTGACAGCTGCATAGATACTTGCACCTCTGCCTTGCCTGACAGCGTCACAAGATTATCAGTCTCCTGCAGCAGCCTGAAGTATCCTGTAGGCCTGGCCAGCATGGATCTGGCAGCTGCACAGCAGTGTGGTGCCAGACAGTGGTGCTGGGGTGCAGGCAGGCTAGGGCAGCTGGCCTGTGGCCTGCCCAGGAGGACACAGGGGCCTGAAGGGGCCTCAGGCTCCCTGCTGGTGTGCCTCAGGGCTCTGAGTACCTGCAGGCTTTTAAAGGTCTGAGGCAGGGGCGGCGCCAGGCCGGGGGCAGGGCCTGCCATAGAGGCAGCCCAGCCCTGGGGCAGGGGAGGCTCCCAGCCTGGAGCCTTGGGGCTAATCTCAGGCCAGCTCCCTAATGTCAGGGCTGACCCAGGAGCAAGCTTGCTCCTGGGTCATGTCTACACACGTGTAACTGCGCAGTAACTAATCACGTATAAATTTGCTACCTGGATTTGTAGGTAGCAAATTTACTTATGATTATGTGTTTTTACTGGGAAGTAAGCATGAACATGTATGAACATGTTTACTGTGCAGTAAACTATGCTACTGCACAGTTAAGCATTTCATGTAGACACACCCATTGACTTCAGTAACTAAATCCCGCTCAGCTCTTTGAAAATGTTGGGGTTAATGTCCCAGAAATGGAATTCCGGATCACAGCATGACAGCCATTTTAAGGTCTTTACCAAAATAAACACAGCATTCTCCTGAAAAATCAGACTTATAAAAATGGACGATCACATCAAATACACACAGAGTAAATGCTTATGATTAAGTGATGTGTAACTTGCCATATGTTTTTATCTGGCTGTAGCAATGTATTAATACGATTTACTATCCAGCTGAAGAGTCGCCCGTAAAGTGCTTTAGACATGGCATCTCTCACGTCAGCTGCTTTGTCCACAGTGTTTGTTCGGACAATAGTCTCTCCTCGTGTTACAACACAGTGAGAAGTTAGAGCTTCTTGAAGTTCTTCTGACCCAATACTTAGCAGTGCAGCAGCTGAAAGATAAGAGAAACAAGAAATATGGATATAACCAGAGTGTAAAAATTGCCAGCATTGCCTATCTGGCACAGTGAGTGAGAGACTCTTTCTAACATAATCCACATTAATAGAACTATAATGTTAAAAAAAATTATATTTACCATTATCTAAGGCTTCTGGGTTTGGAACTTCACTTTTATCAGTCTGGTGTTGGGAAGAAATGGCAGCAAACTCAATATTTCCAGTATTTAGGATCCCAGCCAGAATTCTGTACACTGAATGCACTTCCTACAAATAACAGCGAGAACTACCTCAAAGAGAGACAGTTAGTTACTTTGGCCCCCAAATTTAGTGAATTTAGAAATGCATGTAGAGGAGGGTGTTAAATAGTTCATTCTGAGTTTCTTAGTTGGCCAACTCAGTATTTACTCAGTTATGTTTCAGCAAACTCCCACTGAAATGGAAAACAAGACTGTGAAACTGGAGCATGAATGGGACTGAATGGTTCATTTTGGTCAGGCCATTTTTGGCACAAAGGTCATCTTGAACACATGTTCATTTGTAGTGCTACAAGTACCTCAGCACTTTGAAGTGCTACACAAATTAAAGCTCTATGGAAACACATACATATTCAGTGCCCGCAGGGTGGAGAACTACAATGTTGCCCCAAAAATGTGCTTTCCAGCCAGGGGGCACCAGGAGGCTATGCCTTCACTTCTTTAGCCCCCACAGGAATCTGTCAATGAGTCCAATAACTGACACTTGCCCTGTCCCATGCTGGGAAGGGGGACAGAACAGGCTGTCAGCCTCCCACAGAAGGCAGCATGCATCTTAGTGATTGGGGCATCCAGGCTGTGGACAGAAATTACACAAAAAACAATAGAAGTGATCAGAAATCAGTTCAAATCTGTATTGTGTTCTGTGCACAGAAGTTTAGTGTACATAAACTGCTTTCAAAATGGCTGAAACCGGTTTAAGATAAACCTGAATGGATGCAGGATCAGACTTAACTGATTTATGTTATATTGGTTTACTGAACTTCTGTCCCAGATCCCCTTCTGATAGAAGTTAACTCTCAGTCCCCCAGCATTCTAGCATGCTTTGCACCTCCCCTGCAAACCCTCCCTTGCAGGATGGGTGGGCTAGCCTTGGCCCAAGCTCTCTACTCCAGCTGAGCAGGGAGACATGCTCTAGCACCCCCTGGCTCCTGGTCTGCACCACTGCAGGCATGTGGCTGCATTTCCGAAATCAGAAGTGAATGTCTGTTCACTTGCTTATCAGTTCAATCTGTGCAGTTTAGACTAATCTGCAAAGATTGAATCAATTCAGCCTTGGGCTTTTGACTGTCTATACTTAGCCTCAAAGGGCTGCCTAAAAGCTCACTACCCACTGTCTTGTCAGCAGCAGTGGCAGGCTTCTCTTCTGCCGTAGCCGCAGAGGAAGCAACTGCCCCTTTTGTAACAACAGTCCTATTTAGACAAATGTCAGTCCTTGCACGCACAACATTGGACATGTTCTTTAAAAATATGGTCAATAATGATTTGGCGAAGAAGATCATGTTTCATTTCTCACCTCGTCAGTAAACCCTATGATCCTAAAGCAATGTTGAATTGCTTCAAATTGTCGTCTGTATGAGTCTTTAGTAATAATATCTTGCATTACTCTTCCAGTTTCATTATCAATGTATCTAAATAAAATGGAATAATAGAAGTGCCATATTAGCAACCCCCTAGTGACTTTGATAAGATTGCATCAGTAACTGAAAAGACAATATATTTAAATATTTTTAACCAAATAAATATTGTAGTACTAAATAAATGTCTTTTAACCAAGTAGATACTGTAATGCTAAATAAAAAGAGTTTACATTTTTTTCTTTGCTGTAACTTTTGTTTCTTTAGCATAAATTATGACATTATCCCAACACTAGTTTTCCAATAAAGAAAATGAGATTAGTAACTCAAGTTTAATGAGCAAGATTCAGCCCTGAAGAAAAACGGTATGGGTCCATTGACTTTAATGGAGCTGCACCTGTATAACTGCAGCTAAATTTGGCTTGTTATATCAGATACTCAAAGGCTACAAACAGACACCTCATTTCTCCTGAGAAAAAGCCTTTTTTTTGTGATCCTAAAAGCCCACTGTCCCACCTTTCTTTGTGAAGTGTGGGAGATAAAATGTGTTAACTACTTTTTCCCCAGGACAACTGTGGCTTATTCAAGTTAATTGCTGTTCATTCTAGGAGCAATCTATGTGTCTAAAGGGCTGTGCTGCTCTTCTTTTTTTCCCCAGGTTTTGACTTAGATCAAGCAGAATCATCTCAAATGTAACATCTGTTTTTAGCCATAAAACAATACATTTTGAGTCGCTCCTGCATTTTACAGTAAAGTTACATATTCATAACAGTCCATTTCTGGAGCCAGATAAAGCCTGAAAGAAGGATGGAAAATCTACATAATAATGAGATTTTCTTTTCCTTCTTTTTTTAAATGGTTCAAATCTTCAGACAAATACAAATAATGTAATTCCCTATTGTCCATCCTCTTCTATACTTGGGCAGATTAAGAAAGATCCTTAAGGGATAGAGAAGGATTAAGAGAGATTATAAAGCATCACACTGGAAGTGAGAGCTGATCAATAGCTAATTACAAGCAGCATTTAAAAAAAATTAGTGATAATTACCTAGGAGGTTTTTTTTCAGGAAGTCTATACTCAGAAAGTTTCTTCTGATGAAAAAGGCCAGCATATATGTAATAAAATATATGGAAGTTTTTCTCTCCTCTGGAAAAAAGTGTATTATAATAAAGTATACAAGTATATCTGCATCCATACATTTGTCTCAGCCAGTACCTCATCAAGTTAAGGGCAGAAGGCCTTAAACCAATGCTCACTGAAGTCAATGGCAAAGGTACCACTGATTTTAATGGCACAGTATCAGAGCAAGAAGCAGCAAAAGCCAAAGAGACCTTCTACTATATTTGTGGAACACACAAAACCCAACCAACCGCATAGTGCCAATTAATCCAAGATCAAGCTCTTCTCCATCCTTTTTAAATTGCTGACGGCTGAGCAGAGAGGTATAATGGCACGTCTACTGTCCAGAGAAAAGAGGCTATGGGAGAAAAATATACTGTACAGAATATCCTCTACTGAACAATGGAGTGGTATTGATCTTCAGTCAAGAATAACCCAGCTAACTGTTCCAGCCCTAATATAAGTGATGTAGTTAGTACTAGTGAGTTAGAATAGAATTCCAATGAATAGTGTTTAAAAAATTAAAAAATGTTGTGGGAAAAGATAACTACAATGGATATGAAAGGGCATAACATTATTACACCTACACAGCCTGTTTTATGACCCTGGATTTTTCAAGTAGATATTCAGAAATTTTTGCCCCCATTACGGCTCCTGTTGGCGTGAACATCATTTCCAGGTATTTTCCAAAACGACTTGAGTTATCATTGATTGCAGTGCAGGCATTTCCAAATGCTTCAACCAGAGGGTTCACTTGAAGAATCTTCTCACGCAGAGCACGGTTATTGGCCTTGACAGAATACCCACATAAGAGAAGAAAAGATACAAAAGAATGTATCTGCTTACTCATGGAAACTTCCAGCTTCTGAAATATGGCATGCATTATCACGTCACAGAATAAACTATTGGCAAATATGGGTTGATCTTTCTGCTTAAGTATAATATATTGAAGAGGAAAAGAGAGTCTCCAGCAGGTGTGAAGATATGAGATCTTTTCTCGCTGCAATATTTTTGTCTGTAGAGGCTTCATAAATTTTAATTAGAAAAACCACACTGTAGACACTAAATTACAAGTAGAATAGATTTATTCTTGATCATGCAAGGATTTACAAATGTGTTAGACTCTTTAATTTTTCTCATTGTCTTGACTTTGGTATGGAATTTAATATGAGCACAAATGCCCGCCTAACCAGATTCATTCTGAGTTTTTTTTCTTTACCATATGAAAAAAGAATAATGGAAATATTATTATTAGTAGCAGCAGTAGTAATATGAGTATTAGTATTAGTGTTTAGATTCATAGCTTGCTTGGTCATAAGTACTGTAAATAACTGGAGATACTTGTCATCAAGGGCTTGTTCAATGAGCTTTAGTTAATGTGCCCCTGTTGCCATTTTGAAGCACAGGGACACTGATACACAAGATACTGCGAATACTTTAATTAGACCAGCTGTTGGAGATGCTCTAATTAAAGCACCCTCACCTCTGGAGCACATGTAAAAATGCCCAATCTTATTTCCACTGAAGTCAGTGGCAATGTTTTGACTAACATAAACACAGACTCAAAGGCCCTAAATCTACACTCACTTATGCATGTGAATACTTTTACTGATTTCATTGGAATAAGTCACATATATAGAATAAAACAGATAGGTAGGACTCTACAGGGTAGGAACCTAAAAACAGCTTTTTTATATTAATGATTATTAATTAGATCATGTAGCTTCCAGTATAAAATATGAGATCCCAATAGAGTGCCAAGTTCACACTCTATACAGCTTAAAAAATGAAATATTTCAATGCTTTTAATAAGCTAAAAAGGCACTGGACCTTTTTTTCCCTGCAAAGAAAGTTTAAAATAGATTATTCATTGTGCTACACGGCTTAGTGTAAATATACCTTTCCCAGGAAGGTCAAATGCTGGACAATCAGATGGGCACTTTCAGTCTTTCCAGCACCACTTTCTCCACTGATGATAATGCACTGATACACAAAACAAAACTGTAAATGCACAGCTCACCATATAGCTGATAAGTTAAAAGTTTCACTACTGCTCTATGGGTTATTTAATATAATATGAAGACTGCATAACACCTCCAGAGTCAACTCTCTCCTCAGTGAATATCAAAAAGAGTGTCAGTTTGTTTGTTTCTTTATGCTTTAGATTCATAAAATGGGCACCATCATCATCGTTTCTGGGTGCATGTGCATGTCAAAGAGAAAATAACATTCTTAAGAGCTCATTATCATGACGCACAATTAACATGACACATGGATTCTCACAATGGGAAATACATCTGTATCTAATATACAATCTAAAACCTGATCCCACTCTAAGAAAAAAAAATGATAGGGCTTGCTACCATGAACAGTGCTAATCACTGAGCTAATGCAGCAGTATCCTGGGTTTATAAAAAGTCAAAAGGTAACTTTTTGGGGAGAAGACTGGTAGAGGAGATCAACAGTTCTCCTGCATTACCTGTCTGTACTAAAAAACACATAGCAGATTGTCTCAGCTGCCCCTGTGCATCCCAAATTTAAAGATTAACTGGAAGCCTCTGGCTCTGCTATGTCCTCCTCTCAGATATGATACTTGTTTGGGGCAGATAGTGCATAGGTGCTCTATGAAGGCTCACATCCTAATAAATAAGCCATGTTATTTATATTTCCTGGATTTTCAATAGAATTTTCACCATTTTCAAGTGTTCTACAGCAATGTTTTTCTTTGAAATGAGATATTGTCAAACATGCACTATACTTACTTACATAGAGTTTATACGTGCTGACACAAAACAGACACACAAATGTATGTGTTCTATGTTCCTAAGTACCATATGTACTTGAATATAAGATGGCCCTGAATATAAGATGACCACCCAATAATTAGGTTCTATCTATGGAAAGTGTATAAATTTGTTATAATTTTTCAGGTAAAGAATCTAATTATTGGAGGTGTGCCTTGAATTTGTTCCCCTTCTACTGCTACAGCAGGGCAAATGAATCTGAAGGATCAAATGCCCCCTTCCCTTCTACATCTTCCTAGCCTTCTCCCCCTGCAGTCCCTTCTCTCCATCCTTACTGTCAGACCCTGCTCTTCCTGAGCCCATGGAAGTATGGAGCAAATTTGAAAATACTGACCTTGAAATAAAGATAATTCATCACATAGGCAAATTACTACATGTACTCATAGGCTTAGTTTATCTAGAATTGATGCATTTTATCTATTTTGAAACTACTATAAGTTTTAGCACAGGTACTCCATAAACACTCTTTTAAGAAGCACTTGTGTACCTACTTATATATAGTACAAACAGTCTGTGTCTACACGAGACATTGACTGTGCAGTTGTTACTGCACAGTCATCTAGTACTTGCATACACAAGTACTATTTTACTGTATAGTAACCGGCATTACACAGTAGCATCGTTGAACGAATTTTCTCGCTACACAATAGGTCATTAATACTGCACAGCAGCGTCACATCACACTTCATGCCACATGACACTACTGCACAGTAGTAATGAGTAGGGGTGTGTGAAGTGGTCCCCTATTTGATTCGGATTTGGATTCAGTCTGAATCAGGGACAGTGATTCGATTCGTTGATTCGGATCACTGTTCCTGATTCGATTCGGCCAAATCCGAACCTGAAGATTTGATGCTGATTCGGACATAAACACAGCTTTAAATGTTTTTTCTACATACCTTGAGGTAGCAGGCATGGCTTGTGAATGTTACGATGCTGGGGCACATGGAGAGTCCGACAGGAGTGCAGTGGGGCCCTCCATGTGCTCGGCGGCGATCCCAGAAGTGGACCAGAAGTACCTTTGGTCCACTTCCGGGTCTGCCAGGGAGTGCATGGGGGCCCCCCCTGCAACCTCCCCAGCTTGGCGATTGGCCACAGGGGCACCCCAGGTGCCCCTCAGACCCAGGAGGCACCAGCTGCTGAGCTGGGGAGGTACGGGGGCGCGGGGCCCTGGGTGCTTCCCGGTGAACCTGGAAGTGGACTGGAAGTGCTTCTGGTCCACTTCTGGGTCTGTTGCCAAGCATGCTGGGAGGCCCCCCGCACTCCTGTGGGACACTCCATGCACCCCAGCATCACAGAATTCAAGAGCTACCTGCTACCTGGCCCAACTGCTGCAGAGCCACTGAGATGATTGACCACCTCCTCTGCTTCTGCACCTATGCCAAAGAGGTATGGAAAAGGGTTAAGCAGCTCTGCGAAGTGGTGACCAGCATTAGCTGACTAAACAGAGAAGCGGTGCTATATGGGCACCTCACCAAACACCAGGAGAACTCGGCTCCCCATTTCAACCAGTTTGGGTCCTGCATCAAGAGCACCCTGTGGAAGGCCAGGAACCTCCTGCTGTACAGGCACATGGACATAGAGGTAGTAGGCTGTATGAAAACGGCTCTGAGCAAACTCCAGACCTACTACCAGAAATCGTTAGTGGAGGATGGAGGAGACGTGGCCAAAGCCACCTGGCACAGAGACATGTAGCACAGGATCATCCAACTCCTCCCAAGCAGAGAAGGGGTGGTGACAGAGAGGAAGAGGAAGGGACAAGTGGAACTGAGGATAGCAACAGTGACAGCAGCAGCAAGTCCTCCAGTGGGAGCTAGAGTGACAGCGACATAGAGGGCAGATGAACTGAGTATGTGACCCCGTAAGCAGGATAGGCATGAAAGGGAAGTGTTGCTTGGTCTGAGGGACCAGGGTTTGTTTGTGTGTGTTGCATGTGATATTGTAATGGGTTTGGGCGGCCAATGGGCCTTTGTACGGGTTCGCAGGTGTAGTTTATTGTAATGGGTCAAGGTTTTCTCTGTGGAGTGATACTAGGAGTGTAGTTATATATAACCTTACATATATATATATATATAGACATATATTTTTACAAAAAACCCCCAACAAAACAAAACAAAAAACACCATGCATCTGTGTCCAAGAAGGTAGTTTGTCTGAACCACTTTGCAGGAGAACTGCTCTTCTGCCATGGTTCAGTACCTGCCGAGGTGCAGTGGCTTTAAGCCCAGTTTATGGAAATGGGAGTCTCCTCCCTTGCTTGCTCCGAAAGCCTTATGGCTAAAGGCAAGCAAAACTCAAGGGCATCTGAACCCCAAGCCTCCAGGCTTGGGCCTGCAAGTAGGATGCCCGCCAAGGGTTTTGGAACATCTGAAGCCCCAGGTGTGGGCGGAGGATGTTTGCCTGTAGTAGGGCCACTTATGGTTCTGGACTCTTGGATTTGGAATTAGTTTTGACTAATTTGGCCTTGGATACAAATTAAATAAAAAAACAAAAACAAAAACAAAAACACCACTATGTATTTGGGTCCAAGAAGGCAGTTTTCCTTAAGCCTCCTGGGGATAACTGTTCTTCTGGCATGGTTTAGTACCCGCTAAGATGTTGGGGCTTAATGCCAATTTTATGGAAATGGGAAGCTTCCCCCTAGCTTGTTCCTGTGGCCATATGGCTGAGGGGAGGTAAAACTTGGAGGCATCCAATCCCAAAGCCTCTGGGCTGGGGCCTGGATTTAGGATGCCCGCCAAAAGACTTTGGAAATATCTGAAGCCCCTGGTGGAGGTGGAGGATGTTTGCTGGTTGTAGGGTCACTTATGGTTCTGGACGACTCATGGATTTGGACTTGATTTAGTTGATATGGCTTGGAACCTGAAAAAATTCTTTAAAAAAAAAAAAAGGCAGGAATAAGTGTGCTGTAGAGAAAGCCTTGTGGCACACATGGGTCTATGAGGCGGCAGCAGGGGCCAAGCTTAATGTGAGCAAAAACTCCAGTCTGACCATGGGCGAGCTCGGGGACCTAGAGTCCCTGGGGGTCTTGGTTCCCTGCGAGGGGGTCAAGATCCTTGGGGTGGATTTCGATCCTGAGCTGAGTGGAAGGAAGGCCTGGGAGAAGAAGGAGGCCAAGGTTAAGCAAAGGTTGGGTCTGCGGTATGTGTGCCGCCTCTCCATGGTGGGGTGCATGGCACTCATGAAGGCAGTGTTGCTACCAGTACTTCTGTATACTGCATTGGTCTCCCCTCCCCCCACACTCCCAAGTGTGTCACCCATAGAATTCAAAGAGCCATGTGCATTTTCTTCTGGGGATCCAGAATGGAGAAGGTGGCAAGAAAGACCCTAAACAAAAAGAAATGGGCTGGGGGGTGCCAGACATCCACTTGTTCCTACGGGCCCAGTACATGAGCCAGATCTGCAAGCTGGCAACTGGGCCAGCAACCAAAACAGCCTGTCTTGTCAAGTATTTTACAGTCACCTCCTGAGACCATGAGGGCTGTACGCTCCAGCCAAAGGGAGACCATGCACCATGAAATACCCCTGGTTCTACAGGGTGCTGAACAAGTTCTGGAGCAAGTATGCACTACAGAAGGAAAGCCCAGAGACCGTGTTAAACCACAGGAAGATACAGAAGGCAGTCAGAGATAGAGATAGGCTATCGATCATGGAGCTACTCCTTGATGATGACTGCCAGGCCATCTGGGATTGGATCTTCCACAAGGACCTACATAAAGACCACAGAGACCTGGACTGGCTCATAGCTCACTGTGCACACCCAGTGAAGGTGTGGAGGCACAGAGTGAGGTGAGAGTAGATCCAGCTGCCCCAGGGAAATTTGCTGAGGTGAGAATGAGACCACTGACCGCCTCCTGTGGCTCTGCCCCTATGCCAAGGGAGTGTGGGAAAAGGTAAGCTGGCTCCTGGAAGAAGTGATAGGAGTCCGGCTGATGACAAGGGAGGTGGCACTGTACAGAACCTGACTAAACATCAGGAATCCCAGACAACCTGCTTTGGCCAGTTTGTGTCCTGCATCAGGAGCACCTTGTGGCAATGCAGGAACCTCCTATTGTACAGACACACTGAGGTCAAAGAAACAGACTGTGTTAAACTGTTTCTAAGTGAACTCCAGTCCTACTACCTGAAATCTGTGGGAAAGGATGGAGAAAACACAGACAACCACACCTGGAAAAGGGACATGTGGCACAGGTTGTTCAAAGACCACCAGGAAGAGGAAATGGAAAAGGAAACTGGATGGGACAGCAATGCAACTGGACCTGGAGACAGTGAGAAGGACAACAACAGGATCAGCAGCAGTGGAAGTGACAGGGATATCGACAGCAACAAGGACTCTGAATGAATTGAGACTGTAAACCCCAACTGGGGCTTGGACTAAGGCACTGTGGTTGGGTTAGGGAAGGGCAGCAGGTGGGTGTGTGGGGGCACAGGGGAGCGGGTGCATTTATTGTAACGGGTGCGTGGGTTTTTTAATGCGGTTTGAGGTATGTGATGGAAAGTTTATGACAGAGGATGTATAAATAACTATTTCTCTCTTTCTCAATATCTCCCTCTCTCTATCTATAACTCTCTCTCAATATCTCTCTCTCTTTCTCTACATATATATATATAGAGAGAGAGAGAGAGAGAGAGATCTATCTATAGCCAAAAAATACTGGTAGGTTCCTATCAGTATTTTTGTCCAACAGGGACCATATGTTTTTTAGTCATGGTTAGTGTTGGCTGCATTTAATCAACTTTATACTTGGTTTTCTTTACTGAGCACATGCCACTTTTGGCAGCAGTTTAATGATAGACAATGTATTTAATGAAGTTTCCTTGTTTGTGATTATAAGATGATGATCTTTTTTCCCCATGCTGATTGGAGGGGGGACACATTTCATCTTATATTTGAATAAATACAGTACATTATCTTTAATATATACAAAGCACCATTGGCATACATGCCTCCTTGTAAAAATACAAAGAGATAAACTCCTGCTCCAAGGCGCTTCCAGTGTAAGTTACAGAAATGAATGACAGAGGAAAAAAGGAAGTTTCAGTTCATGTCTTTTAATTTGTTTTATGAATTTACTGTGTGGTTTTAAAATATTTTCATTGCAAGGGGCTAAAAGTGGTAATAGCACTTTCATAGCTATGAATAGTAATAATTACACAGAATAACTGAGGTTTTTGAAAGTATCTGTAAAAATTGAGGCAGCAGTTCTTTTGCTGTAGAAAGAATAGCATATCTGACACCCTTTTGCTATTCCACAGACAGTAAAGCACAGGGTGTTCAGAGGAACATTGTGTAGCATATGGAATAATTACTACTACTGTGTACTGAATAGACTTCTGCATCCAGGAGTATACTTCAGACAATCCGCACTGCCATGCAGCACATGAACTGTTGATGTGTACAATGTGACAATCACACCTATTGTCATTTTTTAAAAATCCCATCCTGATTCAAGGAAGCTGAAAGTGTTTGATGGTGTTCTCAAGCTGTGATGCCCATTATGACTGACTTCATGTGACTGAACAAATCATATACAATGGATTATAAATTGAAAACTCAAGCCTGCAGCCTCAAGTCATGCATGCTTAAGTCCTATTGGCTTAACAGTTAATTTCGGTTGAGTACGGACCCAGGAAGAGAGTTTCTACAACACCACAGACTTCCACAGGCAAAAAATCCTGAGGCTGCTGAAAGGATAAAGTGAACAGGATGCATAAACTTTTGATTTTTACATAAAATATATGTTATGCCACAAGCAGAACCACATTGCCCACTGAAGAGAACTAAAGGCTTTGCTCTGGTGTTTTGGGAACAGCAAATAGAAAATTAGATGTGCTTGTAGCTAACGTGGCTACAAGTTGCCATCACAAGGCAAAACGGATCCAAAAGACAAATCAGCACTTAGACAGGTATGAAGCACTTGAAAAGGTTACGATTTACAATGTAGACCTTATGGCCTGATTTCAAATTCACACATATTGGTGTTTTACATCATCAAGATCCCTCTTTTCTACTACATAAATATATATGTCTTAGCAACACTTTTCAAACAGCATAGAATAAGTTATATAAATAAAAACCATATCTAGGGGACCTAAAGTCCCATGCACTTTCAAATGCTAAATAAATTGTGTACTCTTTCACCTTTTCTTTTTTTCTAAACTTTGTTAATTAATCCAATTTATCAAGCAACAAATTTAACATTCCAAAATATATCCAATCCCTCAGAATATACACAAAAACAGACATCTATCTTCCAACTGCACCACCACAGCCCAAAGTCACGTCCACAGAAATCCTCAGTGCCTCACTTTATCACCCCAGCATCTGTGCTGACAATGCTTGCCATGTTTCTGTCTATGTCAAATCCTTGTGTCCCTCCTTTTCCATATATCAATGCACTAACTACTTTCTCCCAGAACGCTGCATAATACAAATCCCATTATCTTCCATTTTCATCTTTTTCACATGCTGGATCCCATTTAGATTTTATCCTTGTCAACTATTTTCTAAAGTGTAGTTTTATTCTATGAATTCATTGAGTTGTTATAATGTTTTAAAAGATATATTTATCATGAATTATTGTGCAGCATACAGAAGAGTACATTGAGGATCATTTTAGAAATAAAATCATTATTATTCTCCAATATACATACATACATACATACATACATACATACATACATATGTATAGTACATCCTATGAAAAGGAATGCAAGATTCCAATCTTAAAACTATAATAAAAAGGAAACTGGTTTCTGCAGCACTATATTCTATTCTCATTAATATCATTGCCATATAATTGGATTTGTGTCCTCATTAAATTTATATTAGAACTATCCTTAATATATTTTACCATGAAAATGAGTGATCACAGAGTTAATGGTTTGTATTTTCTATGACTTATAGTCACAGGGATTGATTCTCCATTGCCTTGCACCCGATACTGTCTTTATACCTGTGGAAGTAAGGGCCAAGTAGGTGAAAAATGCTATCAAACTGACATGGTAGCATTTTACACATACCTCAGGTGCAAATCGTTACATCCAGTGCAAGTGGAATCAGGGAATAGGGTGAAAATCTTCAGCTGTTAGTAATTAGTGAAGCTCTATCAGCACTGATAGGCTGGGCTGATTAACACTAGCTCACTGTCTTTAAAGATGCACCACAACCTTTTCAGCATTCCCAATTCTAATTGCATTTGTGTTCTATTTTTCCTGCTGCAGGTAAAGTTTCCCAAGCAGAAAGTTTTCCCAAGACCAATCACTACTGATCCAGAATACTAAAAATATCTGAAGTAGCACAGCATCCTACTACCTTAAATGACCAATATTAAGTACACAAGTAAAAGAACAGATTCTTACCTGATCTTTACTGAAAGTAACCATGCCTTGATAAGCAGTGTCTGCAGATGCAAATATGTGGGGGGGATTTGATGAACGCTTCACACCATGGTAAAGCTTGGAGAACTAAACAAAAAAAAAATTGGTGAAAGTACAAAAAAGCCTGTGCAACATGCACATATCTAGTGGTTTGTGCTAGCCTAGGAAATGGAGACATAGGTTCAGTGCACTGCTCTGCCACTGAATTGACTTAAGGTCATAGCCACAGAGATATTTTGACATCTGACCTCAATGGGAATCTCTTTGAACCTCAGTTATTCAGTAGGGATAATAACACTTCCTGACCTCACAGGGATGATGTTGCCAGGTACTTGGATACTAACATGTTTATGTGACAGCCATCATATAATTAAACTGTATAGAAATGATCATAGATTAAAGAGAAAAAGTAATGTACTATATTGGGACAAAATCTAATTTAAAATATATTTGTATGGTTTTCAGTGAGCACAATTCCTAATCATAGCATGGGCCTCTCTTTTGTGTGTATCCTTTATTTCATTAACAACAGTTTATAAAAGGTACATTCTCTATACTGGAGTTCCTCTTACCTGTGGAGAATATATGCTGAGATTCTGGAATGGGTTTAAAGCTATTAAAATGTCTCCAACATAAGTATAAATTTGTAAGTCAGCATAGCGCTTCTGTAGTTGATGGATAATTGTATCCTAAGAAGATTATAAGAAGTTTGATAGTAAAGCAATACGTTTTTTGATAATAACATTCACTGTAAATATACTGTGAACACAGAATAATTGATTATCTTAAACATTGTCAGTTATGTCAAACACTGACCTCATAAAACCAAACCAATTTTTTCACAGTTTCATATCTCTAAAATAGTGCAACAAAACCAACTTAAAAGAAATATGCCTATTTTCCCGGCTGATGTTCAAGGCTAACCTTTAGATTTAACAAACACAGAAAATAATTTAAACTAATAAAATCAATTTGTCCATAGGACAAGAGGTGCTGATACTGCTTATATATCTACACAAAATAAAACTGCACATGTGACAGCAGATCTGAATTGTGTCACATAATTATTCCTTTCTGCCCAGACAATGAACAATCAATTTTATCACATGATTACATTGTTAGAAGAAAATGTAGAAGGCAGAAGCAAGCAAAACATAGGTTATAATCGTCAAGGGTGAGGAAGTGCTACCCAGATTGTACAGTACCTCATCCAGAACCTCTAGGTTCACCAGATCATCATCCAAAGAGTATTTGTCAGCTGCATCTACACGGTAAGGTCTTCTAGTATGTATTCGTTCATGCCTGCAAGTTTGTTAACATAAGATCAGTGTTATCAGTTGCTATTTTGAAAAAGGCAAATAGTAAGAGACAAGAATAATTC